CTCGGCCTCGCCCCCGGGCGCCGCCAGCGACGCCGAGCCGGGCGACGAGGAGCGGCCGGGGCTGCAGGTGGACTGTGTGGTGTGCGGGGACAAGTCGAGCGGCAAGCATTACGGCGTCTTCACCTGCGAGGGCTGCAAGAGCTTCTTCAAGCGGAGCATACGCCGCAACCTCAGCTACACCTGCAGGTGAGCCCCCATTAGTGCAGCCGTTTCCGCGTGTCCGGCCCCGGCCTGGGCGGGCCTCTGACCCGTTCGGTCACCTTGGACCTGGCGCTGACATTCCTTGGGCCTCGACACGCCTTTTGAGATCAGGGTACGAGCTCCCCTTTCAGGCTTAGGATGATGTATACAGTCGGCGCTGCAGCGTTGCAGGGCCCCCCATCAGGTGGTCTCTGGCGTCTTCCGCCCCAGTTTGCCCCTCCTCCTCCTCTCCTTTTCCCCGGGAAGGGTCATCTGCGTCAGGGGGTTGGCCCTGGGGCTTAGAGATGCTGTCATGGCTGTGAGCCTAACCCTAGCCTCCGGCTCCCCACCTTCCCGCTTCCCCCAAGCCCCTTCGCTTGGAGAATTCTGGCGCACGGAGAGGAGGGGGGAATCTCGCGGGAATCGAACGTGGAACTTGGACCGTGGCGCTTGCAGCGTCCAGGGACCATTGTCTGCGGCCGCGCGGATCGATACGGCGCGCCCTTGGGGTCAAATATCACTTCCAAAGTCGCTCTGGCGGCCGAGTAGTCACGGCGCAAGGGAGGCTGGGGTGGCGTAGGGCGGCCTCTTTCGCTTGGAGGCCCTCCTGGAGTTGGGATAGGGCCTGCCCCATCAAGGAGGGGGACCCCCTGGGTTTACCCAGGACCTTGGGTCTCCGGAAACCACAGCTGCTGGGCCAGGGGCCAGATTTCACACTCCCCCCACATAGATCCTAGATGCAGACATGGGGCCCTGGAAAATTCCTAAATCGTCCGGGTACCGCTGAGACCGAGTGGGAGTAGCGGGTCTCAGAGGAGTGGTCCTGAGCTGCCCCAGGTCCCGGTTCAGTCATAGCAGCTGGGTGTGGTCTGGTTTTTCTGTTTGGTCTTACAAGACCAGCAGGCCCCCAGGAGAAGACACAGCTGAGGCTGCCCGCTGAGATCCTCTTGTGTTATCTTTATTGATGAAGACTTGCCTCTCTGCCAGCTGGGAGAATCACGTTTCCAGGGTGCACAATGAGGTTAGGGAGGTCCCAGCACCTGCCCTGGGTCTCCCAGTCAGGGGACTGGACTCTCACCTCTGCCCCGCCAATCAGCACTGAAGAGCTTTGGGGACAGGAGTGGGGGGTGGAGAGCTAAGTTGGGGTCAGGATGTCCCCAGAGAGCGCTGCTGATGAAGAGAGAGCTTGCTGGCTGAGGCCACTGGTCACAGCTAGGCTGGAATTGGAGTTTGGCCCCAGGTCCAAGGTCAGGGCCTGCCTGGGGCTGGTGGGAGGGGGCCCTGTGTTATCTGGGCCAGCAGACTTTGGCCTCATTTTTGCTGCAGGAATAGATGCTGACTCTCTTGCCCAGCCTTTGGGGAGGGCAGGACAGGGCTCAGGCAGTTCCAGGGTCCCCAATAGTTTCCTGAGATGGGGGTCAGGGAACATTGGAGGGGAGGGTGTCCTTGGCAGCTGGCAGCTTCTTCAGTATCTGTGTGCTGTGTGACCTGGTACAGTCAAACCCCCCCTCTCTGTGCCTCAGTTTAAGGCAGCAACATTCCCTGGGGACCTGGCCTGGGCAGAACCCTGGGGAGATTTTAGCCCTAAATCTAGCCCAGGTAGATAATACCCCTCGTGTGTGGGTGGGGTGGGGGTGGGGGGTCAAGAAGGGCTGTCTGGGAGGTGGCCCGCACAGCAGACATGGAGGAATTAGAGCTTTGTGGGCCTGGAGCATCGCACTGAGGGCCATGGAGGTCGTGTGAGCCCGGGGAGGGCCATGGTCAGAATCCGTGGGCACGAGGAGAAGGCTGGGTTGGGCTCCAGGGTAAGGCAAGTCATGCCTTCTGAAGGTCAGATAATAGAACATTCCATTTCCCCATCTCAGGAACCCAACCTGGGTGAACAGAAAATCTGCCCCAGTTCCGTAGCTGGAGAAATGAGGCAGAAGGTGGCAGGGCCTCTCCTGAGGTCAGCCTTGTGAGCAGGGGGTCCCCACCTGCCCTCTGGCCCAGGCTGGCTATTTCCACCCCGCTGCCCTAGGCCCTCCCACCACCCGCTGGGCTTTGTTCTGGTTCTGCCTGAGCTGCCTCTGCCCTGGCAGGGCCTCTTCCCAGGGTCCAGGCTGGAGCAGAGCTGAGGCTGGCTTGGTGGCTGGTCAGGGGGTAGGGTGGGGGCGGTGATGGCGGGGACAGATTGTCAGCTTACCCAGCCTTCCCTGAGACCCCTAGCCTGTCTCTTGACTTCCTACCCCAGAGCCCCAGTACATCCCATATAAGGGTCGACATCTTCCCTCTCCTTTCCTGATGAGAAACTGAGGCTGGAGGTGGCGTCTGGGGAGAGAGTTACTTCGGGGGAACGTTTTTGATGGACTCCTTTGTGGCGTGTTTTATTTTCCACCGTGACCGGCTTGGCTGGTCTATGCTTGACCCCCAGGCCTTTTAGAATCCACACCCAGGGTAGAGGGCAGCACAGGGGCAGGGGTCAAGGGCAAAAGGGGCCAGAGATGTTTGCAAAGAAAGCACCAGACCCTCCCTGCTTGGGACCAGCCCGGGATGGGGAGCTCATTACCTTGGGGCGTGGGGGGCCAATACCTGGTCCATCCCTCTGAGAGACAAGAATGATTCCCAGGGACTGGTCAGAGGAGGAGAGTTGACTTAGGAGTGGGTGTGGGGGGCTTCATTCTTTGATTCATTCTACCATTGGTGCTGGCCTCATGCAGGGTGGTGCTGGGGTCCAGTAGAGACTGGCACCTGGTCCCCTGAGTCCGTTCACACAGCCCCACTCCCTGACCATGTCCCCTTCTCTCACATTGCCTTTGGGACAAAGGCCCTGTTCTTTATCATGTCAATGACCAAATAGACCCTTGTGCCTCGTTTCCAAGCGTCTGTTGTCTTCATGCCCACTGCCTTGATTGGCCTCTCCGTTCACCTAGGGAACTCCTACTCATCCCCCAAAACCCGGTTCTAACAGACACCCCCCCCCCCC